TTTTATATGAAAATAAACAAGCTGAAAACACTCTAACTGAAAAAAATTGTGCTTTTCTATAGTATTAAGCCTCAAATGTCAACTATACATCGGATTGGTTTCTTCTTTAAATTATAAAAAAGTAAAAATATGAATAGTATTATAATGTTATACTAAAATTAAAATTAAAACAATGGGGAAAACCCTTAAGATAACATTTAGAAAGAAAAAAACGCATCTTAAGCACGCAGAATAACATAAGTTGACTTTGAACTAGGGCTGGGTTTTGACAAAAATTTCACGATTCGATTCGATTCTCATTCACAAGCTTGCGATTCAATTCGATTACCGATTCGATTCGATTCAATATCGATTATTTTGGTTATATATCAGGTACAGTACATGACAAATTTTCTCAAGGAAAAAATCTCTCAACTAATGCTGTAAAACATACACGAGTCAGGTGGTACTACATTACTATAATATTGAAGGCTAAAATTGACTGATTTGTAGGTAATATTTCTACTTCAATTCGTTTTTTTAATATATAAACATAATGGTGGCTGTCATAAAAACTTGATGGATTTATTCAAACATAAATGAAACATTGAAGAACAGTAACATTTATAATGAATATGTTATATGGTGCATATATTTAGGAAAATGCCACTCTCTACAGTTTATTTTTCTAGCTGACTGAGTTTATGGTCACCAAATATGTTTTTCTGAGGTAAATGTGACGTTAAGTGACATTGTTTACAAGCCGTTATATTGACGTCTTTGCACGACTGAAACACTGATTGAGCGATTACATGAGACAGGATACGGATTGTAAAGTTGTACCCTTTCTTTTAACTTACCTTCGGACGTTTAGTCATGTTTATTTTGTGCTGAAACTGGTATTAATGAGGAGGAGATGATTAGTTCACGTGCGCTACGCACTGCCGCATCTGTTGAACTGAGGTGCTACAGCGATCTGTCACTCTAGATTAAACAGCGCCAAAACGGCATTTATTGTTTGAATACTGCAATACAATGGACAGAATTTGAAATCTGAGACTTTGTTTCATATTAAAAGTACCAAAAGCACAATGCTTATTGCGATATATTGGATGGAAGGTGCCCTTCAACGTTCCGTCCATTAACTGAAAACAGGCTAGACTAATCGATTCTTGGGATTTAAGAATCGATATCGTTCCGTAAAAATGATAATCGATTAATATCGAGATATCGATATTTTTTACCCAGCCCTACTTTGAACGATTAATTGCCGCTTTGAACGATTACGTAATTGTGGCATCCATGATTGTAATTGCGATTAAAAATTAGATTAATTGTGCAGCCCTAAGAGTGAGTGAAGCTGAGGAGGCATTTTCTCTACAGGAGCTGAGTAACAGACTTGCGCAGGGCATTGTGGGACTGACAGCAAAGCAGAACAAGAGTTGAGAGTGTCAAAACAATGAGAAACACTCAACTTAATGCAAATTGGTGGTGTGGCAACCAAACACTGTAAGTTTAAGGCAGTGACATCTGTCATAAACAATTGAAAGTATCCTGTAATTTCTGATGGATTATTGCAAATGAATGCAATCATCACTGCAAATTAATCAGGTTTTTGACCACGTAATGTAAGCAAATACTGCCACGCTACTGTATATTTAAAGAGAGTATTGAAGGGATTTCTTCTGCATCAGTAGACAGACACATAGGTAAAGTCTGCTTTTAGACCTGAGACTGGGTGAAGTTCAGCAGCTGGGCACCTGTGATGAGAAAAAGGAGGAAATTCAGAGTAGACTAAAACAGGTGGGATCCTTGAGGTCAGAACACCTGGAAGATGAACCGACTTTTAAATGTGTAAAATGTCAAGTTCTTTCATGAAACTCTAGATGGAGCAAGCTGATGGGTTCTTAACTGATGATATTCACAGCGTTAAATGACTTGGCACAAGCTGATTGGTTCATGTTGCATACGCAGCCAATGAGCTTACTGATTTACATTAAAATGGCTGGTTAGCATCCACTTGAGCATTTTGCAGTGTGCTTTCAGAGTTCCTCTAAAACCCTCCACCTTCCCCAGATCCACCTGTATAGGT